TTAAAATAACATTTTTTCAGGTGATAAATAGGTCTCTCTATATACTTTGAACAAATTTATATCCGAAATGATCAATCTTAGCTGTGTTCATTCATGATAAGTAGGCATGTTTCTATCCTGGAAACAGAATTTAACAAAGCTATATTTTTAAAATAATGAATTCAGTGGTATTTATTAATTATACTAGAAGCTTATAGTAAAATGTAAAATATTTCATCTAAATTACTCTTTGTAGACCTCTATTCAAATAAAAAATTAAAAGTCTTTGCATTTGCTGCTAGGAGAAGCTATTCCTCGGGGAGGGACTTCATTCTTGGAAAGGTGGAGGGTCAGTGAAAGAGAGAAAGAACGTCAAGCTGGATTGACACACTGACTGCAGCGATGGGCAGTGTGTCAGAGATGATGAGGATGGGACAGGCTAGGACGGGGTTCAGATTTGTTGCTGATAGGGTTGCTCTGAGTCATCTTCAACTGGACAGCACCTAACAACAATTATTTTTTTAAAAAGTTCAAAGTTTACAACAAAATCAATCTTGGGGGGTTAGCAGGAATGAGAAAAGAGAGAAAGATGAAACAAAATGGGTGAAGGAAAAGGCTATATAGACAGAGCATTTGATTAAACATATTTATATTAAGCATTTGTCATTAATGTTATAGGTTAAAATGTTTATGAATAATTGAATTAAAATTCAGTGATTTTAAAATGGTTTCTCAAATAATGTTTTTAAAAACATTATAATTTTAAAATGAGGTATTAAAGAATGTTAATAATTATTTTTTTCTAATTTGAGTAATTTATACTTTATCATTTCAACTCCTTAATTTACAGAAAGAGAATGAGATACACCATAAGTTACTTAGAGGGGCACCTTTCAAGTTAAATTCTTACCCAAAGGACTATTTTGACAGCAATCCTTATTTTTATGATAAACCTTTACCACCAATTAAGAAAGAAGAGAAACCAGCATCAACTCCAGCCCCCTTTAAGCCCTCTTCTCCTGGTAAAAAGGTAAGTTAAAAAAATTTAAGGTAAAAAAATATGAAATCTTTTTAAGAAATACCAAGCTATGCAACCTTTTGTTAACAGAAGAATGTAAAATAAGAAGGCATGATTAATGTAGAGACTACAGAAGCTCTTGCAATAAAAAAACTATCACTTAAATGTCTTTGATTTTATTATTATTCTTGAAGCGCCTGTCTAAATCTTAGGCTTCGTTTTCCTTTAAGGAAGCTCTGGTCAGTAGGAGTTGTGCTGCCAACCCAAAGGTCGTATCTTTGGTGGTGGTTAGAATCTACTACTGTTAATGAAACTTGGTTTATACTTCTTCCTATTAATTTCCTCTGTGGATTTCATGTTAGGATGTTTGTCTTTTTCTTGTTGACCTGAAAGATTGTTTTACATATTGGTTAGATAAATGCGGTCAAGTTGAATCTAATCCATGTTGAACTCCTCCACAACAATGAAATGCTGCCCAATCCTGACTCATCTTCATAGTTGCTAGCATGTGTGAGCCAGTTTCTGTGGCCACTGTGCCAAGCTTTCTCATCAAGCACTTTCTTTATCTTCATGTTGTTGTTAGGTGCCATTGAGACCACTATGATTTATAGCACCCTATGAACAGCAGATCCGAAACTTGCTCTCTCTTGCACCATCCTGATGACCTCTGCTCCAGCTCATTGTAACAGTCACTGTATCCGTCCAGCTTGTTGTTGGTCGTCCTCTCTTTCTCTGATGTTCTGCCTTTCCCAGCATAAGTATTTTTTCCAGGACTAGCATCTCCTGGGGGAGCGAGGCTAGCGAGCCTGGGCCTAGGGTTTGAACCAGGAGGCGGCCTTAAACCAAAAGGGCCCTCAGGCCAGGTTCAAATTGTTTTCCTGTCAAACGTTCTTCTAGGTGGTATAGCACTGGTCTGTGTGTTGCTGTACAGAGGTAACTCGTGGTTGCTGTGATGCTGAAGCCTGTGACAGTGATGTGCCAATCGTGGTAATGGGTACTCATGGTGAACAGTGTTGGCTGGAGCTTCCCGACTAAATCAAGCCTGGAAGCAGGAGCAGCATCCACTTCCGAAATGGCTTGCCTCTGGAAACTTTGTACGAACAGTGCTCAGGCTGTTCGTTCATAGGGTCGCTATGAGTCGTCTACGACTCGACGGCACCAAACAACAACAACAACAGCCTCTCTTGACAACATGTCCAAAGTATGTGAGACAAAGATTTACCATCCTTGGTTCTAAGGAACACCCTAGTTGCACTTGTTTATTCTTTTGGCAGTCTTTGGAATATTCAGAGCACTGATTCTTCCTCTGTAATCCTTATTAAATGTCCAACTTTCAGATGCATGTGAAGCAACACTTTGACTTGAATCAAACACACCTGAGTCATTTAACGGACATCATTGCTCTTTATTAATCTTCATAGGATCTCTATTTCACCAAACATGATGGCTGCCTTCAGCAATTTACCCGTCTTAATGATGTGGCCCAAGAAATCAAGTCAGATAATGTTCTGTTATAATTTGTAAGGTTTTCTTTTTTTTTTTTTTAAATTTTGAGAAAGCAGCTGGCTGCCTTATTTTTATGTATGTATGTATGTATGTATGTATTTATTTATTTTATGAGTGTACCGTCAAATTGGATCTGACTGGTACAGGAGGCGACTGTTCCTCCTTCTTCAGCAGAGCATCTGGTGGATTTGAACCGCGTACCTCTGGGATTGCAGTGCAGTTTCCTGCCACTAGGCCACCAGAGCTCGCCAATTTGTAAGGTTTTCGTTAGCTGATTTTGAGAAGTAGATTTCCAGACCTTTCTTCTAATCTTAGTCTGGAAGCTCTGCAGAAGCCTCTCCACCCTGAATAACTACTGGTATTTGAAATACCAGTAGCATAGCTTCCAGCATTAAAGCAACACATTAATCACATTAGTACAACATGGTGATTTCAGATATAAGTAATAATGGTAGTTCTTTGTGTTGAAAATAATTTTTTCTACTTTGTTGAATCTTTTGACTTTGACTTTGGTAGTTTGTACTACTTAGAAATTGAAACATTTGATGTAGTGTGATTTATCAGTTGTTTTTGTGAAGTCCTTTTATTCTCAGGCTTTCACTGCCACTAATATTATAAAATATGAATTCTTACTTTCTTCTATTAGTTATAAATTTTGCATTTAAGTCATCATCTAAAATCTATTTTGAGGTAAAGAATGAATGGAAGGATGCAGCTTATTTTATAAACCTTTCTAAAAAAAAAATCCAGATTTGAGGGTACAAAGACACTTTGGAGGAGGGTGGAAATGTTTTGTTCCTTAATTGTGGTAGGAGTTTCAAGGGTGAATACATTTTTAAAGAGAGCTCTGGTAGCCAAGTGGGAAGAAGCTGCATTGCTATCCCAAAGGCAGGTCTGAATCCATCACCAGCTGCTCCTTCTGTGCAATTGTGCAATTTACTGCCTCTGGAAACCCACTGGAAGGTTGGTTGTGAATTGGTTCCAGCTCAAATGCACCCAGCACTCTCTGACCCCGCCTGGACCAGAATGAGCCCTGCCCCCAGGATCCCCTGCCCAGCACCCATGAAGAACTGCTCACCCGCCAGATGACCTGCCCAGCATGCCAACATCACTGTGGAGTACAGTGATAATGAGCAGATAGTGACCAGAGACCTGAGACATCATTTCAGGAGAGCTGGAGGGAACTGGGAGCGAGGAACTGGCAAGGCAAGGCAAGAGACTGGAGCAGGATGATGATGGGTCAGGGCCGGGGTGGGGTGGGGTGGTGTAGGGACAGAGCTGCACTTTGGCGCAGCACCATGGCACCTGCACCAGAGCTGGAGGGCCAAGATGGAATCTGTTAGCTGTGTAAAGGGGAAGGATCTTTCATCTTCTCTTTTGGGTAGAATGCTTGTCTGTAAAATACTGCTCTAAAGCTAAGAATCTGAATTAAGACAGACTAAGAAGACAGATGGGCCATCTACTCCGAAATAACAGACCTTAGCCCTTGTACTGGGAAGCACAGTGGATAAGGAATAATTAGAAGCAGATACTAATGATTGGAACATGAGAAGTATGAATGTAGGAAATTTGGACATTGTTAAGGAAGAAATTGAATGTATAAATATTGACATACTGAGCATCGGTGAACTGAGATAGACGGGCATAGGGCATTTTGAAGCAGATAATCATGTAACCTACTACGCTATAAAGTGAAATGAAAAGGTGAGGGAAAATAGGATCACATTCATAGTCAAAAAGACCATTTCTAAATCCAGCCTGAAATACAATGGCATAAGCAACAGTATAATACCCATAGACATACAAGAAAGACCTATTAATACCACTATAATTCAAATATATGCAGCAACAACCAAAGCCAAAGAGGAGGAAATAGAAAATTTCTGCCAACTTCTGCAGTCATAAATCAAACATTCCACCAAGATGCATTAATAATTATGGGTGACTGAATGCACAAGTTGGAAACAAGGAAGAAGGATCAGTAGTCTGAAAACATGCACTTGGTAACAGAAAAGAGGCTGGAGATAGCATGATAGAATTTTGTACCATCAATTATTTATTCATTACAAATACCTTTGATAAGGTATGATACACATGGATTTCATCTGATGAAATACAGGAATCAGATTGATTACATCTATAGAAAGAATTGTTTGAGAAGATTTCAATAGGAAGTAGATCCTAGTTTCCTTTCTTTCTTTTTTTTGGTGCTCTTCTTCCTCCATCTCTTCCCCCAGTGTAGTGGCCATCACTGGCTGATATTAAATAAACTTTTATGACTCTGGGTTTCCTGTTCGATTAGTATTTTATCCCTGGTTTCTTTGCCTATGCTCCGGTTCTGAGTCCTAATTCTTTTCCCTTTCAAAGCATAGCTGACCTCTTTGTTTCATTCTCTCTGTAACTGGCCTGGTCTGATAAATTGTCCCTAAAATACTAATGCCTGGCAGTATTTATAATATTGCTTTTATACACACATGTGTATATAGTAGAAAACTTTTGGAGTTGGTGTGTCTTAATCCTATAGAACTGGTGGTAGCAAAAATACTTTTGCTGGTATTTTAATTAAACCGAATAGGCAGCTTTCTCTAAAAGTAAAACCACATCAATAAAAAAAATTACAAAAATATGAATTACCTTTTTAAAAATGTAACTTTGTAGAAGTATTTTACTAAACCACACTAAGTAGTTTGATTTTTATTTGTAGGCTGGTGGCATGAAGGCAGGAACATTTGACCCCTACCCTTCACATTCTGCTGACGTTTATATGACTAAACCACCCAAACCATATTCCAGCAAAGAGGAAAAGATTTTTCACCCACCAGGAGGACCAAAAGGCAGACCAGTACAAAGTATAATGACTTTAAATGTCAGAAGGTAGGAAGAATGTACCTTTGACTCATATGTTAAGAAAAACTGTTTTCACAGTTTAGACGTCTTCAAAATAGCATGTTTTATATATATGCTTTTACTGATTTTTAAAATTATAATTTATTAGTTCAAAATTATTAGTTTTAAGATTAATAATTTATTATTTCTATAATTTTACTCATGTAGGTAACACTGTATTTAATACTTGTACTCCTATACAAGTGGAAAAAACTTTATAATTTTTAGACCAATATCAGTAATATCACATGCAAGCAAGATTCTGCTGAAAATTATCCAGAAACGACTGGAGCAACAAATCAACAGAGAACTGCCAGATGTGAAGGCTGGTTTTAGAAGAGGCTGTGGTACTAGGGATATTATAGTTAATGTTAGATGGATTTTGGCAGAATGCAGAGAATCCTAGAGGAATGTCTATCTGTGCCTCATTGACTATGCAAAGGCTTTTGACTGTGTGGATCACAACAAGCTGTGGCTAACTCTGAGAAGAATGGGAATCCCAGAACATTTTAATTGTGCATATGCGAAACCTATACATGAACCAAGAGGCAGTTGTTAGAACAGAGCAAGGAGATACTGCATGATTCAAAATTGGGAAGGGTGTCTGCCAGGGATGTTTTCTGTCTCTATACCTTTTCAATCTATATGCAGAACAGATCTGTCGGGATGCCGGGCTGTACAAGGAGGAATGTGGCATCAGGATTGGTGGAAGATTCATCATCAACAACAACAACATGGCTGTTAACTTCTGTACAATTTTAATTCAACATAGTACAACTGAGACACTTTCCAACATTGACAGTACAGCTAAGGTTTAAAAAAATGCAAATTCTCTATTACT